GGAGCAGCCGGCTGACAGCACCGGGGGGGCCAGAGAGGGGGTGAGCGGGTGCCCCCCTGCCTCCCCCCACCCCCAGGACCCTCCCCCAGAGCCCCCTCAGCTCACCCAGCAGCAGGAAGCTGAGCACCCACTGCAGGACGGAGAGGAGCTGGAGCCAGGAGCTCAGGTCCCACCGCGAGGGCCAAGGTGAGACCAGCAGGGTGCGCAGGGCTCTCTGGATGCTGGCACGGCTGCCTGTTTGGGGGGACACACACATGACACCCCGCCCAAAGCCACCGCGGGGTGCACAAACCCCTTCCCAGCAACCTGGTGGGGTCCGGGGTCTGGTGGGACCCACGGCTGCTCAGGTTGGGGTACAGAGGGGAGGTGGGAAGGGAGGATGGGAAGGGTGAAGCAGTTTGGGTGAGGAAGGGATGAGTGGGGTGGGATGGGGGGATGCTCAGCCCCAGAGAGCTCTGGACCGTGCCAGGAGGTGACCCTGGGCAGCACCAGGCAGGGGCGGCTGGCAGGCTGGGCATCCCCAGCCCAAACACATCCAGCAGCCTGGGTGCACCAGTGGAGCTGAGCACAGTGGCACATCCCAGGCCTTGCCTGTGCCCTCCTTGGGATGCTCAGGCTCAGAAGAGGATTCAGGGCTTCTTCAGCCAGCAAGCTGCCTTGACCCCCACCCCAGCCACCCCCAAGGCCAGCAGGCAGGGTGGCTGCCCATGCTGAGCCTTGTCTCCCATGGGGGACAGTCCAGCAGCTGCTCCACTCCCCCCACCACCCCCTCCAGACAACCCTGGTGAACCATTAACCACCCCGGGCTGGGTGCCAGGATCCAAACTCCATGTGCAGCCCCATCCCTCCTGCCCAAAACAGGGGCAGGAGTCCTTCCAGCACACTGCTCCTGGCCAAAGGTCTGCTGTGGCTGAGACCACCCAGTCTGGCCACAACTGTGAGTGAGCTACAGAATCATGGAATGGTTTGGGTTGGCAGAGACCTCCAGAGTTCATCCAGTCTGACCCTGCTGCAGTGAGCAGGGACATCTTCAGTTAGATCAGGAATGAAGGTTTTTTCCCAACACTGATAAAGCCAAACAGACCCCGTCAGCTCCTGCATCACAAAAGCCTTGTTTTCTTGGGAAAACAACCCAAAATCAGCAATGCTGGTCAGCTAGAGATGCTCAGACAACAGCAGATCTGTCCCCATGACTCCCCAAGGCAAGAGACCCTCGGGTTGGAGGAGAACACCCCAGTCTGGGTGGTTGGTGGTGGTTCAGCTCTTCCCAGCTCAACCCAAACCACGACCAGGACAACTGAAATGTCAAACACTGGACCCACCACCAGCATGGAGGGTTCTTCCCCTCCCCCTGAGCAGGGTGCCATGCTTTGAGCAATCTCCCCCCGCCCTGTCACTGTAGAACTTCCCAAAGCCTTTGGCTTTTTTTTCCAGGAAAGATGCAAAGCTCTGCCAAGAAAATCTGTGGCTACCAAACTGTTGCTTTTTTTTTTTAGTTCCTTTTTCTACTTTCCCCCCCAAGAATGTCCAGACCACAAACAGAAAAAGGGGAAATCCCACAGGTTCCACTGCCAGCCCCATCCATGGTGACAGAACTCTCTTCAAACCCGGAAATTTGGGTTCCACAGCTCAGAGCAGCAAGGAAAGACAAAAGGGAGTTTGCAGGAGCATCTTGCAGGAGCATCCTGCAGCAATGTTACCAAATGCACTGTCAGAAATGTCATTTCTGTTGAGCAACCCCCTGTTTCCCCTGGTGCTGTCAACCCCAAACTGCCCCAAACACCTCCCTTTCCCCCCAAGCTGCCTAAAGCAAAGAGACAACGGTGACAACAAACACCAATTGCCTGACCAACTCCTTGCCTTGGCATCCAAAACTATTCCAACACACTTTGGAAGTCTCTTACCACTCAGGTTTTGGGAACAGGCTGCAATGATGGTTTTCATGGTGGCAGGGTGTCCCACTCCAGAGCCTGGTCCTGCAGGTTAGAAGGTTGAGTTTGGAAATACCGAAGGGCGATTGATTGTGTGTCCAGCTGATTTAACCAGCTGACCCAAGGTAAACCCTGCGCTGCAGAGGGGAGCAGACCCACTCCAGCCATGGCTTGTGGGGTGAGGAGAAGACCTGGTGGTCCTTGGGAGGATGAGGAGTCCTGCTGAGCAGTGAGGAGCTGCTGTTGGGAAGGGCAGCTGCTGCTCCTCGGGAGGTCTCCACTCCTCAGGAAGGTGCCGGTCCCGGCCACCGGCCCCCCAGGAATGGTACCGTCCTGTGCTGGGTATTTCACAAACCACTGCCATGCTCCACTGCTGTGACCCCTCCAGGGCCACCCAAAAACGTCATCCTGCTCCACAACATGGGAACAGGGCCCACCAGACAGGCCCTGACCCTCAGCCCCAGCCTCCAGCGACCATCCCCTGCTCTGCGGCGGGGCCGGCCAAGGGCTGCCTGCCAGCCCAGGGAGGCTGGTGCTGCCTGGAGAGAGCTGGGGGGAAAAAGGAGAAGGAAAAGAAACAAAAGCAGCCAAGTAGCTTCTTAGGGTCTGCCTCTCCAGAAGCACTTGCCAGGAGGAGCCAGGTAACATCAAGTGTAGGGGATAAACACACATAGCAGATTCCAAGTGGTGTGGAAGCTAAAAATATGTTTCACGGGAGAGGTTTGGAACCCAGGAACTCACAAAAACCCACCATCTGCTTTTGTAGAGATTACCTGGATAAAAGGGATGCAGCAGCATCCACAGGGGTAGATTAGCTGAGAGGAGCTGAGACTGCTACAGAGAAAACATCTAAGCTCTTCCATTGCTTTGCTGGCCCCTCAGGGGTGCTCGAGTCATGCCAGTGGGAAGGAAAAACCCCGGATGAATTCAGAATCCAACTGTCCTCCAAGGTGAGGGAGCTCTCTGCTGATGGGTCCAACTGCACCAAATCACAGTCAGTCCCTCCTGCCCTGCTGCAGGTGTCACACTGCCTGTGTGCAAGCAGCAGCCACGCCTGGCTTGGTTTTTTATCCCAACATTTCAACAACTACAGCCATGCTGGGTGACTCCAGAGATTCCAGGCTCCGAGCTTTCTTGCCCAGGAATGTGCCTGCCCTGCTCCAGATCAGTGCCAGGTACAGCAGGGCAGTCATGCCCTCTCCTCTGCAGGATTAGTGCCAACAACTCCCCACCTTAAGAATCCAGACAAGGTTTTCTTCAGGGTTATTCTGTAAGCACAGTGACAACCAGGGCACTGCTTTGCTTTTGAACATGGCACCATTTGTCCACGTTGGCCCCTGTGGGCACACAGGTCAGGCACCAAGTCAGGTGTGCTACAGCCCCCTAGACACACCACACTGAGCACAAGCATTTCCACTAAGGAATTTGTACTATGTGTAGCATCAGCCTTTCAAGACTTCGCCCTCCAAACACCTGATCTACTTAAAGCAAACACCCCAAGCACTCCAGCCTGCCCGCTCGGGGAGGAGCGGTGGGATGAGCCTGTGGAAAGGCCACTGGACACCCAGCTGCACACAGACCTCCCTGCCCAGGCTGTGCTGTGAGCTGGGGGTCTTGGGAAGCTTGAGAAAGTCTGACACTGCCTGCTTCCCATCCCCAGCTCCCTGGTGACCAGCTTGGGTTTCTGTAAAGACTTGCTCTGCCTGTGACAAGGAGCCAGGGATTTTCAGGAACTAGGCAGCACAAGAGATTTTATTTTGGTTAAAAGATAGAGAAAAAATAAATACATCCACCCACAATACAAAGAGCAGTTTCCAAATCAATGTACTTTTCTTTCAAGGACCTCCTCTGCCAGGGAGAGCAGAGACAGTCAGACCCCTCAGAAAGAGCTCCACTGGCCAGGATCTCTGTGCTGTCACTGTACACGACCAGTGCCCTCAGCTGACTTTAAATGTACACCAAAGCAAACTGTCACGTTTCCTCCTTGGACTCCAGTGTCTCCCAGAGAAGCCATGGATCCCTCTGCATATGTACAGTGTATTTATTCCTGTATCTCCAGGACACAGGCAACTCTTACAGGATTTCCACTCCCTCTGCAGTGGGGGCATCAGCCCATGTTCTGCCGGTTGCCGTAGCCTCTGGGGTGTGTGTCTTTCCAGTCATCCCAGCTCCGAGCTTTCTGAAGAGCTTCCTCATCATCCTCCTCTTCTTTTTTCTCCTGCTCCTGCTTTTGCTGCTCTTCATCAGTTACATCTGCTGAAGGTCAAGAAGAGGAGTGAGGGGCAGTGAGATAGTGAAGGCATGTTCTCAGAAGTGAAGCCCTGCCAGGAGCTGGTTGGGAGACAAAGCTGGAACTTCCTCGAGCAACCCAGATATTCCCACAGCCTCATAAAGTCTGTTCTTACCTTTCCTCAGTCAGTGGGTGTTTTACACCCTGAAAATAGCCCCGTTCACCCTCCCCCTGGAGAGGCTTCCCCAGTTCTCTGCCCCAGCCTTTGCCCTCACTCAGTACCTGGTGCCCTCTGCGCTGTGCCCTGCTCAGACAGCCCTTCCCTCCTGCGCTGCTCGTACCAGTCGTCCACTGTCATGGTGGGCAGCCCAGGGTACCCCATACCAAACACTCTGTGGGGAGACAGAGACAGTCAAAGCACTTCAACATGGCTATGGATGAGCAGAAACACAGAACCATTCATTGCTTTGGTTGGGAAAGACCTTAAAGATCATGGAGTCCGACCTGCTCCCCAGGACGGTGCTCAGCCTTGAGCCTCACACAGCACCTCTCTGCTCCCCTGGAGCATCAAGGGGGGCTTGGGAACAAGGCTGGTTCTACAGCCTGGGCCACCAGCCACAAGGGCTCTGAAGAGTTCATCCTGCTTGTTCAGAGGACTGTTCTAGTCCAAAGACCTCGGATCACTTCCCCAGCCCAAAGGGGGCGCTGTGCTAGCACAGCTTGCCAAGGAGAGCCCTGGGAACTGACCCAGGCACGGTTTGCCTCAGAAAAGCTGAGGGCAAATCATGTCAAAAGCATGACAGGAAACCTGCTTCCTATCCCATTCTGTGCTTTGGCTGCCATGCTCCCTGCAAGAATCCCATGGTGCCCCCAGGTGTTAAGACCTGGATACCCTGGGGAAAGCCTTTCAGTTCAAACCTGTGTTGCTGGGACTGGTGACTCTCCAGCAGGTATCACATCTCCCCAGGGATCACTGACTTGAACTCACTGAAATCTTCCAGGAGATTAAAAGCCCACATGCTCTTTTTCAGCACCAGGCTCTTTGTTTTGATAGTGAAGGACAACTCTGTTGTATCACAGAGAGGTTGGAGGGGCAGATAAGCCTCTCCACAGCTTACAAACCAGCAAGCACGTGGCCTGTAAACTAACACAGGGGTATTTGCTTAATACAATCTGCTCTTCTGCCATCCTGACAGGAGGAGAAAGGGTTAGGCAGGACACTGCAGCTTGTTAGGGATGGAGAAGATCAGGGAAAGTGGCAGAAATTAAGGGGGCCTACAGGAAAGCTGGGGAAGGACTTTTTACAAGGGCTTGCAGTGAGAGGACGAGAGGGAATTGTTTTAAGCTGAAAGAAGAGAGATTTAGGTTAGAGTAAATTCTCTAGTATAAGGGGGGTGAGACACTGGAACAGGCTGCCCAGAGATGATATGGGGGCTCCATCCCCCCGGAGATGTTCAAGGGCAGGTTGGATGGGGCTCTGAGCAGCAACCATGGTCTCTCCATGGTCTTTAAAGTCCCTTCCAACTCCAAACATTCTGTGTTCCTGTGAAATGCACCAGATGCTCCCCCATTCTCTGCCCGGAGGCACAGCAGGTCCCACCTTGATGCAACCTGCTGCCTGAAGGTAAGGACTGCCTTTCTGCATTTGAAAAGAGTTTTCAGGCTTGACCTGAGAACAGAGCATTGCCTCCCACTGTGCCTAAAATCACCAGAAAACAACATACTTGGCCTGGGCAGCATCCCGGGTGAGGAGGAAAGGTCTCAGTGGAGGCCTGGCCGGCCGAGCAGCACCGTGGGGTGGAGCTGGAGGCTGGAGATGCAAACAACAGTCACCAGAGAATCGTGTGGGTGAGACTCCCCCTTCCCACCCCACACACAAGTCATGAAAGGTCTCGCCAAAAGAGAAATGCTTCTGCTGTCAGAGCAACACCCCAAGATGGACAATTCAGTCCTTAATCCAGTTGAAATCACGGGCTCCATCTGGGAGTTTCGACAAATCACTTCTCTTTGTGCCTTTGTTACACCCACCCTGCTCAGAGCAGAAAGCTGCCAGAGCTAAACCAGATCAGCTCAGATCAAAGCATGAAATATGGCTTATTTTTTTTTTCCCTGGGATCAAACCAGTCCATTCTGAAGCAAGTAGAGCTCATCAGTCCTGATGAGATCACCCAGGGCACTTCAGAAGAACACAGCTCTGCAGCACCAGTAATGAGCTGCACAAACCAGCTGTGCCAACAAAGCTGGACTGTGGTTTGTGTCAGCACATCATGAGCTTTTATTTTTAGACAGATGTTTTCTGTGAGTAACATAAAGCCTAGAAAAAAACCCAACAAAACTATTCTACATGGGAATTGCAGATCTAGGGGAGGCTTTCAGCATTCAGGATGGGCATTTCTTTGGTAACATCTGGACATTTCGCAGACTTGCACAGGCTTGGAAGAAATCACCAGGATCTTTTTTTAACCATAGAATCATTTAGGTTGGAAAAGACCTTTAAGATCATCATGTCCAACCTTCAGCCCTACTCTACCACGTTCACCATTAAACTGTATCCCCAAGCACCACATCTATACAACTTTTAAACACACCCAGGGCTGGTGGTTCAACAACCCTTCTGGACAGCTTGTTCCAGTGTCTGACAACCCCTCTAGAGAAAGTATTTTTCCTCATGTCCAGCCTAAACCTCCCCTGGTGGAGCTTCAGGCTGTTCCCTCTTGTCCTATCAGTATTTACCTGTGACAAGAGACCAGCACCATCCTTTCAGGCAGTTATAGAGGGCAATGAGGTCTCCCCTCAGCTTCTTGTTCCTCAGACTGAACAGCCCCTGCTCCTCACAAGACTTGTGCTCCAGGCCTGTCACCAGCCTAGTTGCTCTTCTCTGCACCCACTCCAGCACCTCTATGTCTATCTTGTATTGAAGTGCCCAAATTCAATTAAAAAATGTCCTTAGTTCTTCAAAGTGAAGGGTCTGGCAGAAGCCAGCCAAGTGGAGGAGAACCACTGCAGGCAGACTGGTTCAGCTGAGGCTCAACACTCTGCACCTCACAAGCCACCACTGTCTCTAGAACATGTGCCAGCACCAGACAAGTGACTAATCCAAAAACCACCCCACTGCCTGGTCAGTTTTAAACCAAATCCCACCCACTTGTGCTGTGGTTGAATCATAGAACCATTCAGGTTGGAGAAGCCCCTTGGGATCACCCAGCCCAACCATCATCCCCTAAACCACCTCCACCAACACCACATCCAAATGACCCTTCAGCACACCCAGGGATGGTGACTCCACCACCTCCCTGGGCAGCCTGTTCCAGGGTCTGACCACTCTTGCTGTGAAAAAATCCTTCCTAATGTCCAGTCTGAACCTGCCCTGCTGCAGCTTGAAGCCATTGAGCTCAATTTCAACCAACAACTGACAGAATAAAGCTTCTGAAACTGCTGAGGTTCATTTACCCACACCAGCGTCTATTGCCGGCTCTAACCACCCTCAGGACCTGCAGTGCACAAAAGCTCTCATACCTGCTTGGCTGTCCCTCTGCTCCTCAGGATGAGCATTTCTTGGTCAATGCTCTCAATCTCCTCCAGGCTGGTGCTGATCCACCTCTGGGTTTGCAGGATGTAAAACTCCCGTACCTGGGCCTCGTCCGCTTGCCCGCCCTCCACGCAGGCTCTCATGGAGGCCAACCTGTTCTCCAGCTCCTTCTTCTGCTTGTATCTGTCTCAAAGAGAACAAAATGAGACCATTTCAGGAACCTTCCTCTTAACACAGCTCAGATACAGTGTCACCTACAGTAAACAATTCCCTCTTTCCTAACAGGAGGTGCTCATGGCAGGTTAGAACCTGATGATCTCCAAGGTCCCTCCCAACCTTCACCATTCCATGAAATACCATCAAACCACCTCCTATCCCAATCCTCTTTTCCCAGAAGAATCCCAATCTGGTCCAAGAAGGCTTTGAAAATGCAGTTATACACACAACAAGCAACACCAACATCTCTTCCTCTCACCTTCCCCATCACTTCCACCCGTAAACTCCAGTTCAGACACCACCCAGAACCTTTACTGCTCTTAACAGCTTGAACAGAGTGTTCTGTATTTCAGAAGAAAATGGTACAAAAAAATGGGATGTTGGGATGGTTTCTTGCTGTAATGGAAGTTATCTCCTGACTGCTAAAAGCAGCTTTGAAACAGGTTAAATTTATAGGTGCCCCTCTCTGTTAGTTTTTTTTCTTTTCCTAAAAGTTGAGCAGTCCTTGGAAATGAAGCCTCCCAGGGAAAATCAGGCAATCCTGGCAAGATTAATCTCCTGGAGAAAATAGGACTTTAACTCACTGGCTCCTTCACTGGGAAAATACTGATGTTGTGTTGCTTCTACATGATACAAAGATACCAGCGAAGCTGCTTATAAGGTGGATTAAAACACTCTTCAATTCCCATTTCTGGTTTAGTGTGGGTGGGTTGTTTTTTTAATAGAATTTTGGTTTTCTGGCTATTTTTTTTTCCCCTTTTTCAAGAATCAGTTACTGAAGCAGCACACCTGCAGGCTAAACCCTGCTGTCCCCCTTCCTTCAGCTACAGTGCCAGCTGAGGGACAAAGAGGAAGAGCCAAGGAACAGAAACCTATGGGAGCTGAAGGGACAAGGACCACCCAAGAGCTGTTCTGAAAAATAACCCCACCCACAAGTTTGTTCTTGCAAGCCATGACAGCAAATGTAACTGGTCCTGCTCAAGTCCTGACCTGTTGGTGACAGAACTCACCAGGTAGGGCCCTCCTGTCTGCCCAGGGCAGGAGCTGAGGAGGGGGAGAGGCAGGAGCTGGGGAGGGGGGCACTTGCAGGAGCTGAGGAGGGGGGCACGGGCAGGAGCCCCCTGTGAGAGAGGAGCTGACAGCCCCCCCAGTGCTCACCCCCAGCTGATGTGCAGCCCTGACCAACCCGTGCTGCAGAGGCTTTGCTGTGCTGGAACCCCAGGCCCTGGTGTGTCCTCATGGCCCAAACCCATCTCAGCTGGGTCACTCACTGAAACATCAACCCTGTGTTTACATTCACACCATTTCAACAGCTCCTCAGCTCAGCTTGGGCCTCCCAGTGCTACCACAACAAGCAGCAACTTGATTGTTAAACCCCCAGAGGCACCAATCACCTCTTTTTTTAAAGATCTAACAAGCAGGTGGGCAGGAAACCTCTATCCTGGGTGGCTTTACACTGCTAGTGGTGATTAAAAACCAATCATAACAGCTTTTCTGCAGCTCTTCAAAGACCAGACATGAAATCTCTCCAACCTGTGTGCACTGCAATGCCATTAAAAAAACCTGGCACGTGTCTTCAGATGAACAGCTCATGATTATTCCACTGTCAAGGGCACCAGGACTTCCCTGCCAGTTCTTGTCTGCCCAACCTGGTGCTGCCTGAGGGTCTCCCCTCCCCTTCCACCGACTCCCTAAAGCCTTTCAGCACCACAAAGCAGGCACTTACCTCTCGATCTTGGCCTGCCTGCTGGAGGCCATGGCCACCAGGCTGGCCTGGGACCCCCGGGGGCTGCCAGCCCCTTCCTCTCCAGGGGGGCTGGGGCTGGCAGGGGGCAGCTGGAAGCTGCCCAGCCCGTAGCTCTTGCAGAGCTTCAGAAAGGCCCAGAAATGGGCCCGGGCGCTCTCCAGGTGCTCCAGCCTCTTGCTCAGGTCGACTTGTTTCAGCGTCAGGGAGCCCAGCAAGGCGGGCAGCACCAGGTACTGCAGGTCGGTCGAGGAGATCTCCTCCAGCTCCTCGTTCTCGCTGTGATGGGGGGGAGAGACCAGACCCAGCCCTCCTGTTCCTGCTGCGCTCCGGACAGACCCAGCCCACCCTGCCCAGGCCCGGGGGGGGGCGGGGAAAGCTCGGAGGGACCCTCCCCACCCCTGGGGGTCCCT